AGTGTAAAAAATGTTGTAGTATTTGACCTTATTGTGTGCACAATTTTTGTTTTATCAAGACAAGTTGTAATAAATATCTTTTGTTGAGCGGAAAATAAGAATTATATTCGCGTCAAAATGAGAAATTTTCAAATAACATTTATCTTTGAAAAAATAATTTTCTATTTGAAAAAAAATTTTTTTTTTTTATGAAATTTTCAGTTTTATTAAAAATGAATAAGAATAAAAAATTAATTAATAAAAAATTAGTAAATAGTTAATAATTAACAATTAATAATTAATAATTAATAATTAAGCAGTTAAACAATTAAGGAATTAAAAAGTAATAATTAAATAATTTAATGAATCGTTGAAGAAATTTAATAAATTGTTTCGTGAAGGAAGACTATATTTAAAATAGAAAGAATTGAAGAATCAGATTTCAAGCGACTTTGGCCAATAAACTTTTTAACGAGTTAGTCGCGAAGCACACGTAATCGGATACCGGAAGTTTAGGGGTTGAAGGGTGACTGACGGAAACTTTACACTCGGCAGCTATTAGTCGCTAACCACATCTCGTGCAGGAGGGAGCAAGAGAGACGAAAGTTAACGCTGCTTTCAATTCAGCACTTTTATCCAACGTCTCGCCTAAAATTTCAAGTTAAACTTTTCCACGAAATTCCCTTACGTGAGACTTTTAAGTAGTCTTTGTTATCTTCGACTCCTCGTCAACTAGATTAGAGGGGAAAAAAAGGAAGAAAGTAATGTATGAGGATTTTTCCATTCCATCACTGCAAGAAAAAAAAAAAAAAAAAAAAAACTTTTTTTTCTCAACTATATATATATAAATTTTTGCTGGGTTATTAAAAAGTTTTCTTTACTCTTTTCTTTCACAATCGTGTCTCTCGATCATTCATTTCTAAAGTATTTCTCCTTTTTAAATCGCCTTCAGAATTTTTCCCTCTCTCTTTTCATTTAATTTTTGTTTATTAATTTTTTCCCCCACTTTTCCTTTCTTAATTATACTTTAGAATTCTAGAAATTAACTGGTAAATTAAATCGAAAACGTTTTAAAAAAAGTAGAAAAAAAATTAATTTTATGAAAATTAATTTAATTTTGTAAAATTTAACCAATTTTTGAAGAAAAAAATAATTTTCCTTTAATTTTCCATTTTTTACAAAAACAATGAATGGAAATGAAATGGAAGGGGAAAAAAAAGACGCTAATTCTTCTACTAATGTGACGATCTAGGACTTCCGAGAAGCTAGCGTGCAGATAAGAATCTCTAGAGTGAGTGTGTGAGAGAGAGAGAGAGAAAGAGAGTATCCTTTCGAAAATGGGACTGCCACCGGAAGAAGAGAGTTCATAAACTAAAACTCGTAATCTGAAAAAGATCGGATGGTTGTAAAACTTTACTTCACGTGCGATTAAAGTGGCAAATTTTTCTAACAACAAAACCTCACGTTTAATCTCATTCAAACTCCAAATTGTAAAAGAAAAAGAAAAAAAATTACTCTTCCATTATGCAGTAGCAAAAAAAAAGAAGATTGAATGAGGAAAAAAAAGATTATCACAATTTGATAACGAAAAAAATGTAGAAATACGGAAGAGGAACTACTTTAAATTATTTACAAATTAAATAATTTTGTGCTAAATTAAAAAAAAAAATTTTCTTTATTTTTTTTTTAAACAAAGAATTAAATTAGTTACCAGTCAAATTATTATTATTATTATTATTAATTTTTATTATTTAATTAAAATTAAAAAAAAAAATTTTTCTTCTGGTAATTTTTTTTTTATTAATTTTTCTCTTTTAGTACTAAATTGCATTTTTGATGAATTTGTATTATAAGTTGAGAGAGAGAGAGGGGAGAGAGATTTAAATTAAGAACGACTCGAGAGAGTTTCCTGGTTCATTTGTGGTGTCTATGTTTTTTCGTTTATTTCAAGACTGACGCTTTCAGGAAAGTTTCATTGAACTTTCCTTTAGTGCGGTTTGCAAGTTATTCACGACTTTGTGACAAAAGGAAACTGTATCAAGATTATATTCTCAGACACTGTACCTTTTTCTTTTATCTTTTTATTTGTTATTACATTTTAATATCATCTCTCTTATTTTTTTATTTAATTATCATTATTATTATTATTATTATTATTATTATTATTATTATTATTATTTACTAATTATTATCTCTATTTTTATTTTTTATTATAATATATTATATCTATAATAATTATATAATGTAAACCTAATAATAATAATAATAATAATAATAATAATAATAATAATAATAATAGTAATAGTAGAAAAATAAATTGACATGAAAAATTTTTTTTTTGCGTTTTCGTTTCGCGAAATATTTTCCAAGTTACTTTATGTACTGCAAAGGTAATTTAAGATCAAAGAGGTTGATCTTTGTGGTTGGCAAGGTAGATGTAATATAAAGGTCGAATCCGCAGGTGTCAGTGACACCCTTTTGAAATCTTGTCAAGTTACAAACAAATCCTTTTGTACTATCCGAAACCCTTCCGCACGTCAACCATTCTTTGTTATTTCAACGAACATTAAATAATAATCGACCAAAAAATAACTAAAAAAAAAACAAAAACTTCAACTACCTATTATTAAATAAATATTTATTTGGACCAAATAAATAATTAATTGGACCAAATAATTTTTATTTAAATCAAATAAACTGTATTCGAATAAATTATTGCAACAATAAAGTAAAATGGACTATACATTTAAATAAAAAATAATTTAGAGAAATAGAAAGAAATACAAAAAAAGGAAAAAAGTAAAATCAATAAATATATTGCAAAAAAGAAAAAAATCGAATGAAGTGAGTCAAGTTTTTTTCTACTTCATGTATAAAGCTGCATTTTCGTTATCTATATATATATATATGTGTGTAGAGTACCAACAAATGAATGCCCAGGGGATGACAAAAACTTGACAAACTTTTCTATAAGTTTCAAACCAAAAGTCAGAGAGCAATTTCAGTTTGTGGGTGGAAAATACGCACACAAGGAACTTTACTATATCTTTTCCACGACTTTTCACAATTCAAGTTACAGCGCACAAAGGAGAGAATGACGTCTTCAAAAAAAAAAAAGAGAAAAAAACCGACAATGATTCTATACTATCACTTCAAAATTGCATCAAAACTTTTACAGTCTTTAAAAGAAGAAAAATTTTTCTAATTTTCCCTTTTTTATTGATGTTACAAACTTTAATAATGATACCGATTAAATTTAGTACGCAAATAAGAATAAATTCAAATATAAAACATTTTCTTACAAGAAAAAATCAAATTTTTTTTCCAATAAAAAATCTGATCAAATTACAGGAAAAGAAATTTTTAACTTAAAAATAAAAATAAATAATAATAATAATAATAAAATAAGTCATATTTTATTTAGAGAATTAAATTTTGTAAAATTATACCGCATTATTTATTTATTTAAAGAGATAACGGGACATAGAAAATATATATATATTTTTTTTTAATATATATTTTCTTGGCGAAGAAGGGAAATTTTCAATTTATAATTTTATATGTAGTTTGTGAAACCTGATTTTCTTCAATATTTACCAGAGGAAATGAACAAAAGTCTTTTGTTACGCACTTTAACTCGTCATGATGATGAAACATTGTGTATGTATATAGAGAGGGTACTGGTTATGAGGAAACTCAAGAGTTCAATAACGTTGTTGCTCTAGGCAGTACTGTCGACGTACAAGCATGTTGATTTATAATACCAATCTCAAAAGAAATTCTTCTCCCGGGATTACAACAACAATCTCATCGCGAAACAAGCGCATATTTCTTATTATTCTCTTCAAGTGTTACGTGAGAGTCAAAAATAACATCAATTTTTTAATATCAAGTCTCTTGTATTATGTATTATTATATTTGTATGTGTGTATGTATGTGTAAGACCGCAATTTTTTTTCTTTCATATAAATATAAATTACTTAATTTACACGCAGGCAAAAAAAAAAAAAATAAATAAAATTACCCGTTTAGTATCAATTTAAAAAAAAAATAAAATTTAAAACACAATTTTTAAATTTTATTTCTATTTAAAAAATATATTTTTTTATATATTCTAAAATTATATTAATTTAAATAGTTCTGTCTGACTATAATGTACTTTTACTACTGATAACAAAATTACTAAAAAAAATTTTGAATAAAATACACATTTTTTTTAAACATGAAAAAAAAATTATTTGTTTCAACTAATCTATTACTTAATTATTATCAAATAAATATTTATTTGTATTAAATACATCCAGAGAAATGATATATTTATCTCACAACCTTATAGATATTTATTTGGTTTAATAAATTTTTACATGATTAAAATAAATTTTTATTTGATTAAAATAAATTTTTATTTGATTTAAATAAATAATTTTATTTACGCCAAATAAATAGGCCAGTAGGCTGTAAGACAAATATACGTTTATTTAACTCAAATATATATTTGGATCAAGTAAGAAATGTCTCTGGATGTAATTATTATTTATTAGTTAAATACAATTGATTTAATTCAAATAAAAATTATTTGCCTTAAGTAAATTTATTTATTTGATATTAGTCAAGTAATCGATTATATGAATCAAATAAATTTTTTTTCTGAGTATACTAAAATTAGAAGATTTTTTTTTAAATCCATGTCTGACTAAAACTGACTTCTACTACTTATTTTACTACCAATATTAACATTACATGAATTTTATCAATATTCTCTCTGATGTATTAAATTTCGAAAAAAAAATTAATGGAGCAGAAAAAAAGTTGATGAAAATTTTTTAACGCAATTGAATTTTTATCGTGCCTGGCATATTATAAATTTATTTTATAAAAATTTTTAAGGGACAATTGTCACAATTTATATGGTATATTAATAATATATATTATTAAATAAAGCGAAATGGAGCTTTAGATATATATTGTTTTGACGCTTACATAGAAAATCTGCTTTAACGAATCATTTATCTTTGTTACAGGCAACGTTTTCGTGATAGCCGCCATTGTCCTGGAACGCAATTTGCAAAGTGTAGCCAATTATTTGATTCTCTCTCTTGCCGTTGCGGATCTTCTAGTGGCTCTTTTAGTCATGCCTTTGGGTAACTATTTTTATTTTACTATTAATTTCTCCCAATCATTCAGTTAAAATTTAATATTATTTATTTTTTATATTTAAAAAACAATATTTTAATTGTCCAAAAGAATTTTTTTCTCAAAAATGTAAATAAATAAAAAAAATTTTTTTTTTAAATTTCTCTCTGAACTAAAATTTATGTTTTAAAACCCTTTGCGGCATAGTGACACTCCTGAGTGTCACCTTTTTTCTTGCACTTTTTTAAATACTTCAGCCACTATTTTTACACATTTCAGTAACAAAATGTATTTAAAATGTATTTTAGAATATCTATTACAATATAACTACACGGAGAAAAATGGAAAAACGAATAAAGTAACTTTTACTACTTTAAAAGTAAAATTGGACCTGTCCGAAGTTTCTGCGCATCTCTGGCAACTTTTACTCCAAAAATAGTAAAATTGACTATTTCTGTAGTAAATTTTACTGTTTCCGTAGTAATTTTTACTATTTCTGAAGTAAATTTTACTATTTTTGGAGTAAAAGTTGCCAGAGATGCGCAGAAACTTCGGACAGGTCCAATTTTACTTTTAAAGTAGTAAAAGTTACTTTTTCTTTTTTTCCGTGTACATTAAAAAAGTGTTTTTTTTTAATAAATAATATAAATGTTATAAACAAATTAAGTTTAAAAATAGCGTTTTTTTACAATAAATGTAACTGTGACTAAACAACAATAGCAAATAATCTAACAATAATGTCTATAAAGTTTTCGGGGTCGCTGATTACGAATCTGGCATCAGATTTTCAAAATTCAAAATGGCGGAGCCAATATGGCGGATGACAAAATTAAAAATTCATCGGATTTCCTTGAAACTTGTAACTCGTGGGTTTTTGGGGGCGCTGATTACGAATATGACGTTAGATTTTCGAAATTCAAAATGGCGGATCCAATATGGCAAATGACAAAATGTGGGTTTTTGGGGGCGCTGATTACGAATATGACGTTAGATTTTTAAAATTCAAAATGGCGGATCCAATATGGCGGATGACAAAATGAAAAATTGATCAGATTTCCTTAAAACTTGTAACTCGTGGGTTTTTGGGGGCGCTGATTACGAATATGACGTTAGATTTTCAAAATTCAAAATGGCGGATCCAATATGGCGGATGAGAAAATGAAAAATTTATAGGAATGGCTTGAAACTTGTTACTCGAGGGGTTTTTGGGTCGCTCGTTACGAATATGATGTTGGATTATCAAAATTAAAAATGGCGGATCCAATATGGCGGATGACAAAATGAAGAATTGATCGAATTTGTTTAAAACTTGTTATTCAGGGATTTTTGAGGTCGCTGATTACGAATATGACGTTGGACTTTCAAAATTCAAAATGGCGGATGATAAAATGAAAAATTGATCGGATTTGCTTGTAACTTGTTACTACGGTGTTTTTGATGTCGCTGTTTATGAATATGACTTTGGATTTTTATAATTCAAAATGGCGCTTTTGTGTGTGTGTGTGTCTATGATCAATTTGATGAATTTTAACAAAATTGTCTGCTAGATTGGATCCGCCATTTTGAATTTTGAAAAACTGACATCGGATTCGCAATCAGCGACCCCGAAAATCCCTGAGTAACCAGTTTCGAGCAAATTTGAACAATTTGTAAAAAATTGTCCGCCATATTGGGTCCGCCATTTTGAATTTTATAAAACTGACATCGGATTCGTAATCAGCGACCCCGAAAACCCCTGAGTAACCAGTTTCGAGCGGATATGATCAATTTAAAAAAAATTGTCCGCCATATTGGATCCGCCATTTTGAATTTTGAAAATTTTTTAAATCTGGCTTCGCATTCGTAATCAGCGACCCTTAAAACCCCCTATAATGCACTTCAAAGATAAATAAATTCCTGTTAAAGAAAAATGTATGCTTCAAAGGGTTAAATTAAAATTTGATAATTTTTAACTTTTTTTAATTAAAAATACTAATCCTAGCAATTTTTTTAGTATTTTTTTTTATAAAAATTTGTTTCGAGGGAATCATATGTGAATTTTATGTAAATTTAAAAAAAAAATAACCCAAAAGGAATGTGACTGTATATAGATAAATAAATGTATTTTTGCAAACCAATGTTTCTTTGGCTTTAGTGTGAAATTTTCGACAGGAGCCGTGTACGAAGTGTCTCATGAATGGGCTCTCGGACCGGAACTTTGTGACATGTGGACCAGCAGTGACGTTCTGTGCTGCACAGCCTCGATATTGCATTTGGTTGCAATCGCTCTCGATAGGTGAGTTTTTACTCGAAACAACTTTCAAAATAAACTACAAGTGTTCACCCCTACCCTTATAGTGTGTGTGTATAGTGAATCGGGGAAAATCGTTAAACTCGCTCGACTTCACTCGATTTAACAAAACAAAAAAAAAAATAACCATCTATTTATTTGGTTTGTCTTTTGTTAATTATCCAGTACAAAAAAAACGAAGTCTTTTATTTTATAACAATTTTTTTTTTTAACAAAAATTTAAAATAAAAAAATTTTTTAAAACCCCGAAAAAAATTACAAAAAATACTTTAATGAAAATAAATTTCCTCTTTTTTTTATTGTATTTTTGATTTGCAATATCGAAACGACAAAGCCATTTCAATTTTATGGTTATTGTATTTGGGTAGAATTTTGGAAATTTTATAGCCATTTGTTGATTCTATCAATCAGTGTCCTGATACGGGGGGGAAAAAAAATATTACGAGCTTTCGATGTAATCCTATTTTTTTTTTTGCATATGAATATAATAATAGAGATAAATAAATTTTTTTCACGATTTCGGATATTGTGAAAAAATATGTTTTTTCTCAATTAAGATACGTAATTATTTTTTTTTTTATTATTATTTTTGAGGGAAAATATTTTTTACAAGAAAATATCGTTTTCAAATAAAAAATCTGTCTGACTGGAACATATTTTTACTATTAAACTATAAAGTAATAAAAATCGTTTTTATTACTAATAGAAATTTTTTCCAAAAAACGCCTTTAATGTTCTGATATTTTTTAAAATAATTTTTTTTTACTTCTATAGGAAAATTAAAAATCTAAAAATTTCCGTCTGATTAAAAAAACACTTTCAGCACTAAATATTGAATAATTTGAAAAGTTTATATACTGTTATTTGGTTTATTTTTTCTTTACTGCTAATAAACCGAAAAAAAGTAAAAAAAGAAAAGAAAAAAAATTCTAAGAAATTTTGTGTTTCTAAACAATATGCAAAAGACGTTCCAATATGGAAATTGAAAATTCAACTCTCGTCCCTCATAACAAAAGGATATCCCTAGGATATCCATATCAATCGTCGATATCCTAGAATGGTCCCCAGGATATCTTGGGATATCCCTAGGATATCTTGGGATATCCCTAGGATATCTTGGGATATCCCTAGGATATCCAAACCGTCGATCTGTGGGACATCAACAGGATATCCATAGGATATCCCTAAGACATCCACAAAATATCTATTGGATATTATATCGCAGGATATCCATGGGATATTCTCAGAATGTCCGTGGGATATTCTTAGGATATTCACGGGATATTTAATATCTCAACATATATTTTTAAAGGTTAAAATTGTTAAGCTAATATAATGAATAATAATATAATAAAAACAAAAATCTTATGAGCTTCTAATTTATTTTAAATGAAGATTTAAAATGCATTTTTCAAAGTTTTTAAATAAACTCATGCACTTAATGTATAATTAATATTAATAGTTATTCGTTATTTGCGGGGAAGAATTTATATTGTTTAAAGCCAATTTATTTTCTGACAATATTAAGCATATGAATAAAGGAATGAATCACGAATGAGAAAAAAATTAGTTAATAATTTTTCAAATTAAACAACTTTCTCGAAAAACAAGTTGCATTTTATTTTATTTATATAAAATTTAATTCACAGAATATTCTCACTCGTATTAGTCTCATAATGACTTTAAAAACAGTATCCTGAGAATAACTTCTTGACATCCAGAAGATATACTGAGAATATCCTGAAAATATCTGTGGAATATCCTGACGATATCTATGGGATATCCTGATGATATCTGTGGGATATCCTGACGATATCTATGGGATATCTGGAGGACATTTATGAAAGTCTATAGAGATATCCAGAAGATATCCTGTGGATATCCTCAGATATCCATGGGATATCCAAACCGACGATTTTTTGGATATCCTTAAGAGATCCTTTTGAAATCCATAGGACATCCCTAGGATATCTGCGGGATATTATCAATATATCCCAAGATATCTTGTGTTATTAGGGGTAATTTCACATTTTATATAATTTATTTAGCTCTAATAAAATTTTTAATCAGAGGTGTGTAGCTATTTTAAATTAGTTTTTACTTTATGTATATATATATAATATATATGTATATAAATGTGTGAAAATGCATGAATCATAAGTGGAAATTATCAGAGGACAACTGACTCTCTCTCTGAGAGTGGAGAAACAGATTAATGTTGTTCTCCTGAGTTCTCACAGTATTTGTGTATATGTGTGTGTATATGAGGTTTATGTTTGGTGGCGACATAGGGTGTTACAGTCTCCGTGAAATCAGGTATATCTGTTGAATATACACACAACATTGTGCGCAATGCCCCCAGGGTTGTAATAATCTCCTACACAGTGCATACATATATATATACAATACCTCGAGAAAGTCGTTGCAAATGTATATTTATGCATTAAAATAAAATAAAAGGCAATTTCCTTTTTTTTTAATTTTTATAAAAAAAATTTTTGCCAGGCACGAAAAAAAGAAATTTAATCGTATTTTTGTTTAAACTAATAATCTCAAACATTCGTAAATTTTTTAATAATTACGAATATTTCTTTCATTTATTTAAAAAAAAAATTCTTACTCATCAAATCTACTTTTAATACTAGAAAAGAAATTTTCTACAAAATTTGTTTCGGAAAAAATTTCTAATTTTTTTTTTTGGTAGAAAAATGAAATTATTTATTAAAATAATATTTGTCGCTTACCTTAAACTGCAGTAAGACCGAAGAAATAAATACTATTTGAAGCAGGAAACACACGCGGTTTAAAAATTTTCGAACACTCCCGAAAAACTTTTTAAATTACAAAAAATAAAATACTTTTCAAGATTATAAACGATCGCGATTTTAAGAAATTTTCGAACACTCCCGAAATATTTTTGAATTAAAAAAAAACTAAAGATTTAGAAAGCGATGGCGATTTTTCGAATACTTCTGAAACAAACAAAAAAAATTTATTAAAATAACTCCCGAAGGAAAATTCTTTATTCAAATATAAAAATATCAAATCAAAAGCGTTAAATATGCTTTTAAAATTACAAAATTGACATTCATATTGATCACTAAACAGGTCAATACACAAATTGCAACTGATTTAATTATATTTGGGATTTTTCTCATCAAAACAATGTTATGATCTTTCGCAACCTTTGTACTTCAATGTAAATATACAGCTCAAAACGCAGGTATATAAAGGTAATAAAATTCGAAAATTGTTTCCAAACATTAATAATAATTATAATTTTTAAATTTGAAAATTTTTAAATATAAATTCAAAAAAAAAGAATTAAATTTTTTTTTTACATTAATAATTTAAACATATTATTTAAATAATTTTGTTACCATTAAATTAAATGGTAAACATTATTCGTCAATTAAATAATAAAAATCTTTTACTAACGATTTTGATTAAAAAAGTGTGTACTTTGTCTTAAAAAATTAAAAAAAAAAGAATTCTCATAATTTCAAAAAAAAAAAAAAATGGTTTTTAATCTTGAACACAATATATATACAAGCTATCTCATAACATTTTAGCGAACTCATAACTTCAAAGTAGAGTTTAAGATTCTACTGCACGTAACAATTTTAAAACTTTAATAATATTTTGAAAATATTTTCATTTCGTGACCACTTCAATTATTATTTATCGATCAAGTTATTAAAACAATATCCAACCATTATAAAAGAAATACCGAAATAAATGTCTGCTTTTTTTTCCAATTTTTTAATATCTATTTTTATTGACTTATCGGTCAAAAATTTTTAATTATCTATAAACCTTTAAAAATATTTAAAAAAAGAATAATAATAATAATATAAAATATTCTGAATCCATTTTTTGTTGTTTATAGTTGTGAATTCGTTGAAATGAAAAATTGCACTACTCAATCTCTTTTTCGTTTTCTGAAAATGATATTAAAGTCTTCGACTAATCCCCGAGGGTTATATATATAAGGCTAACGGAAAAAAATTTTTTTTTTTTTTCATCTCGCCTCTACGTTAGAAAATAAATCCAACTGTCCATCTTAACTTTCTCGTATATAGATCTTGTCGTTCTATGGACGTCAAAAAAAAAAATTTTTTTTTTTACTTTCTACCAACGTGTAACATATTTCGCGGATGATATTTCATGAAAGTAACGCGCGCGCGCGGTAGGAGGAGCAAAAAAAAGAAAAAAAAAAAAAGCCAAAGACTAACTCGGTACATGAAATAACCTGAAGGAACATGAAACTTTCCTCAACGAGACTTGCTCACGTGACGGTCTGAGATATTGGCCAATTTATGAACTCCCTTGTATATATATCGACGATCGAACAAATCAAAACGCAAGACATGCCAAGGTGCATAGTCTGCCACTCCAATCACTTTAAAATCTTTTTTTTTTTCTTTATAAGTGTATTCAATTTTTTTTTATCATGCAATCTAATTTCAGAATTTAATTTAATAATTTTTCTACGCTTTTAATTATTTTAATTATTACATACAAATTGTAGATTAAATTGTACACTGAAAAAAAATTTAATGCAAATAATTGGTTACTTGACTATTATCAAATAAATATTTACTTGAATCAAATAATTTTTATTTGAATTTAATAAAGTGTAAAGCAACAATTTCTGTATTTAAAACGAATACAATTTAATTGACTCAAATAATAATTATTTATTAAAAATAAATAATTATTTCATACAAATAATTATTTATTAAAAATAAATAATTATTTCATACAAATAATTATTTATTAAAAATAAATAATTATTTCATACAAATAAATATTTATTTGATAATAGTCAAGTAACCGATTATTTAAATGAAATAAATTTTTTTCAGTGTATAAGGCTTAAAAAACAAATAATGATTGTTTCTAAAAATAATAGTTTTAATAACGTTTCCTAATGCTACGCTAAAAATTGAAAGAACTTTCAAAGACATTCAGTAGGTTTTGTG